GGCGGTGTGCCCACGGGAGCCCTTTGGCCACGCCGGAGGCGCGGCTCCAGCCCCCTCGGCCAAGCCCGCGGCGCAGCAAGGTCGACAATGACCCACTTTTCTAGAGAGAGAGAGATTTGCATTTTCAGCAATTTGTTCTCCAAAGCGCAGGTCAGCGGGGTTAACCAGCCGTCTGCTTCGCGGGCACCGCAGACCCGATCCCAAGCAGGGCTCTCGCCGCTCGCGTGCGTCGTTAGGTGCGCTCGCTAATGAGGTCTCCCTCGGAGGTCGGGCCTGAAGAAGCAGAGGGGGAAAGGTCTGGGCTTCCACGGCGGAGGTCCGCCTGACAAACAGCTGCCGAGTAAAGGACACAGATGGAAGAAGGACTCACTCTAATTACCGTTTTTCTAAAAGTTGCGGGTTTTTTCCTCAACCCGTTAGGTACGCGATTGCTTCCGCTTCGCTTGGTAGACAGGACCGAAACACGTGGTGACCGGGTGAAAACACACCCTCAGGTATAAAGTGCAGCCCGGGCTGCGGCTGGGTGAAGGGGGTAGGGCTGCTTGGGCTCAGGGTGTGCTGCTGCAGGTGGGCGAGCTCAGGCGAGGCGCCTCTGTGGGCGCTGGGAGCCGCGTGCGGTGCCAAAAAAATCCCTGGGCTCCTATTTTTTACCTGAGAGATAAACCAGAAACCCGAGGGTTGTGTCTTGTGATATTCTCAGGCGCATTAGCGGTAGCAATCGCTACGCAAAACTAAACTTTGATTCCGTTTGCAGCAGCATAAAGTGTAATAGAAATTTATTTTTCTGGCTGTATGTCGCCGGGCACGTATCCATCCCCGCTCCCCCTCGCTACAGCCCCGCTATCGTTTTTCTCGTGCCTTCTGAAGTTTCCTTTCATTTTCTCCTGACTGAAAGGCGTTCGTGCCAGCTAAGCAGGGGATGTGTTTACAGAAGTAGATTTAGCTTCCTGAAAAACCAAATGTCATATTTCCAGTTTGCTATACTAGGATGAAATGGCAGGGTAATTCTATTTACAGATTGCTACAGATACCATTAAAAAAAAAAAAAAAAAGCAGCAGCAGGATTTCTTCTAGAAGCCTCCAGCACTCCACAGTCATCCTTTCCCTCTGATTTCCAAGGTCAGATGGGTCATGGAGGACTTTTCTCCGCGGTGGGAGGCAGTGGAGGAAGAGGAAGGGCTGTGTTGTGCCTCTTAGTCATATTTCTTCTTCCCTGCTAATTTTTCAAAGCTTGGATCTCAGCCCGGCAGCGATGGATCTGTGAGCAGATTGCTGGTGAAGCCCTTAAAGAGGAACAAATGTGTTTCATAGGACATGCCTGCAGCTGGCTGGGGGGTCGGGGTGCACTAACGTGGGCTTGGTCTGTGTGTACGATGCACGAAGCGTAGGGTCTGGTTTTGTCTGCATTCGCCAATGTGATGGAAATACGGAATAACTTGGGAATACTTTAAGATCCTGACAAGTCCAGCTTTACATCACAATTAGCAGCTCTTGCTGATATAATCCCGGGGTTATCAGTCAGCCCTGCAATTCCCTTTGTCAGCAGCACCTTCAAAAGTGCCCGTAAGAGTCGATGTGAATTATTCAGTTACACTCCTTCCTCTATTGTTGGCTCCTTTCAGCGTGAGGATGACAATTTAATAGCTTCTGTGTGCCAACGGTAGGCATGCCAGTGCCTTTTCCTTTATACATTTAAGATCATAAAATATGTTTCATGGAAATGTTCGAAAACCCCCAGGATTTAAGTGCATCCACAATTGCCCGTAACTGGTGAAATTTTTTCTCCCTTGCTCGTTGCAGGGATGACGTGCCAAGCCAGGACATCCTATACCGAGGACGAGGTGCTCTGGGGTCATCGTTTCTTCCCTGTTATCTCCTTGGAAGAGGGGTTCTTTAAAGTCGATTACTCCCAGTTCCACGCGACGTTTGAGGTCCCCACCCCGCCGTACAGCGTGAAGGAGCAGGAGGAGATGCTGCTCATGTCCTCTCCCTTGATAGCGCCCGCTGTGAGCAACAGCAAGGAGCGGAATAACTCGGTGGAGTGCCTGGATGGTCTCGACGAGGTTGGCACAAAACTGCCTTCAAAACTGCAGAAAATAACAGGGAGGGAAGACTTCCCCAAAAAACTGCTCAGGATGAGTTCCACCACCTCTGAGAAGGCCTACAGCATGGGGGATTTACCCATGAAACTCCAGCGGATCAGCTCGGTCCCGGGGAATTCGGAGGAGAAACTGGTGTCTAAAACCACAAAGATGATGTCGGATCCCATCAGCCAGTCGGTGGCCGACCTGCCACCCAAGCTGCAGAAGCTGTCGGGCGGCGGCGGCAGGATGGAAGGGAACCTTCCGCCCAAACTGCGAAAAATGAACTCGGATCGGTTCACATAACCCGCCGGGACTCGGAGCTATCGTTGAGAGCTTGAACTGCGACTGGCGAGGGCAGCTGCGGGGGAGAGCGGGCCCCCCGCCAGCCGTGGGGGTGCCGGACTCTGGGCTCCCCGGCGCGCCGGGGGGCGGGAGCGTCCCCTGGGTCGCAGCGGCTGCGCTGTGCGTGCGGACGGCGGGACGATGGGCGAGCTGGTGTTCGTTGGCATGTAGTATCACAACACGCATGCAATAATAGTGTGCAATTTTTGCATATAGTTTTACGGCATGACTCCTACTATATTTATACTGTATATTCTCAAAAATATGGAAAGGGGCGTTCCTTTCCCCTGTATTTCTTAAGAGTAAGTAGTAGGTACAACATGCGAGTGGGTAACTTTCAGGGTAAGTTATAATTTGATTTGAAAACGGTTTGGGGTTTGGGGTTTTTTTTTTTTCTTCTCTGATGTGGATCGTGATGTTTTGTTCAACAAAGTAGTTATGGTGCATGTCTTTTTTTCTTGAAAGGAGGTGTATTAATTAATTCCTAACACCGAATCTGCTGGCCTTAACTGCTGGTTTGTGTTTTGCTTTAACTTTTCCTTGGGGTTTCTTTTCCTGCGTCTAGGCTACCGGAAAAAAATGAAAATGTGTTTCATAAGGCGTTGTTTAGAGAAGAAACATGTATTAATAAGCCTAGGCAAAACAATAAATAAATGAATAAAATTCACACTTTAGATACGATTAGTAAAAATCTTTTAAAATCTTCATGAAATGTGCAAGAAAACCGTTTTAAATAAGCAGGACGTCCTTGATTTCTCGCGTTGATAGAACAGCTAAGCACGAAAACAGCTGAACCTCTCCGTGAAACCAGCAGGCATTCCTTCTGGATGAGCCGCGCCCCAAAAGCAGAGTCACAACCCCGCCTCGTTCCGCAGCGCCCGGATCTCGCTCCCTCTCGCTTTGGCAGCCCAGTTGGGTTCCAGGTGATGGTTGCGTGAGCCGCCCTCTGGCCGCGCTGCCGGCGGCGTCGCTCCTTACGGCTTTCTCTATGGTGAAAATGCTGTTTAAACACGTTCTTAACCAAAGTTGACCCTGTGGGTTTCGAAATGAGTTATACTTGGTATAAATGTGGGGTTTGATATCCTCCTGTGCTTGGCTTTGGGTTTCCTTCCTCTGTCTTGTTTTGCTCCGGTGAGGTGAACCAGGAGGGCTGGGTGCTGTGTGGGTGCCCCAGCGCCCCCCACGCCACGTCACCGCGGCTTGCGGAGCTGGAGCCCCCCACAGCACCCCAAACCGCTGGAGGTGAGCTGTTGCGGTGCCCAGGGACTGCGGTCTGTGCTTGGGGGCCAGGTGGCGACGGCTTCCCGGGGGCTCCTTCTTGGAGGAGAAGGTCTGGGCGAGGTGGAGCGATGGGCGGCACCGTCGGGGAGCTGGGTACGACAGCCACCGCCGGCAGCGGCCAGGAGGAGGGCTCTGCGTGACACCCTCTGCGTGGAGAACCCTGGTGAGCACAGCCTGGGGGGCCCAGACACGGACACGCGTGGGACGGGAGGTGCACGTGTAGGGGCAGTCATGGACGGGCGCTTCTGGCTTGCGCCATCCGGCACGGATGCTGCTGCTTGCTGCCTAGCTAATAACAACAGATCTGATGGTCTTTGAGGAAAAAAATTGTGTTTTGTTATAAACGTTGGCACGGAATAAGGACTCGGAAACTCAGCGCTGCTGGAGGGTTGGCTCAGACACAGCTGTGGCTCAGCGCTTTTCCCTGGAAGTTGCCGTGTGCGACCCGTCAGTTGTACAGCCAAGGACTTTATACCGACTTCCAAAGTTTATTTTCATCGTTGATCACGATTTTTTGAGTGGCTCTGCATGCTCTTTACACCTTTGGCTACACTTCAATTCTCTGCACGTTGCTGTTGAAGGGAAGGGCGCGCGTCGCTCCCTGGGCGCTGATCCTGTGCTCTACATGCGCGGCGAGCAGATTGCTGATGCGGCAAGGTAAAACCTGGACTTCTCTTCTACTGTTTGCTAACACTTCCTCAGGTTGTCTTGTAAAATACCGCTGATTTTTGTACACGTGTAACTCTTCTACCAGTCCTTGACTGGCAACCAAGTTAGCCAGTGCAATTGCCAGGTGTCAGCAGTAAAAACACCACCATGTCCAAACCAGGGCGCCAAGACCATGAGTTGGCCGTGGTGAACACTCAGCCGGTGGCACAACCGAGCGATGGGTCCTGCCAGCAGGCTGGAGCAGATCGGTCTGGTTTTGAAAGAAGGGTCTCCAGCAGCTTGACCTCTCCTCAAAAGCTCCTTTGGTTTATTTGGGGTGGATGGGGGGTCACTGCCTCCTTCCTGGGATGCTGCCAGAGTGTGACCCTACCAACCCCCTGCCCTTCTGTGACACTGCAGTTGGGCTGGATGATTGTTGTAGGTCCCTTCCAACTGCAAATATTCTCCCTTTCCCTTTCCCTTTCCCTTTCCCTTTCCCTTTCCCTTTCCCTTTCCCTTTCCCTTTCCCTTTCCCTTTCCCTTTCCCTTTCCCTTTCCCTTTCCCTTTCCCTTTCCCTTTCCCTTTCCCTTTCCCTTTCCCTTTCCCTTTCCCTTTCCCTTTCCCTTTCCCTTTCCCTTTCCCTTTCCCTTTCC